GGCTTCTCGACATCCCCAGCGCCCATGACATTCACCATAGCAGAGACTGCGGCCCGCAGTCTGCGGGTATTACTCTAAATGATCCGTTCGACTGACTTGAGCTTGTCAGCTTCACCAAAACGAACCTTTGACCTCGGTAGTGTCACCACGGAAACAGTACCGAAGGCTATGGAGGCTGTTGGGGACCAATTACTGGTATCACCAAATTTTTTCCATGCATTCATTATAGGTGGAGACAGGTGATCCAGAGGACGATCGAATTGATCGAGAAGAGGGTTCAACTGATAGAAGACGAAGTGGTGAATCTAGAGCTCAATCTCAGAGTTCCACCGAGTCCCCTGAAATTAGCGAACATGTCGAAGGATGCCAACGCGGTGGCCCCTAATGGTGTGCAATATCACACAAGTAGACACAAAGCTTTGTCCCCGTCCCAGACCTTTCTAGCTGTATCCGTTTTCCATCTTTACCCTTTCCTGAGGATTATTTACCTCTGGTCGAGTTACGTAATAGTACAGCGTAGCAGCTCCTTGTTATGAATATGGGTGACAACAACATCAACGAGCATCATCTATACTATGCCTTGCCCGAGAGCTACGTCCCAATTACTAATTCACTTGATTTCGAGCAGTGGGTTCGTAAGTACAAGGCCTGTGCAAAGGCAAACAAATGGAACGAAGAAGACAAGCTTAGGCATCTGCCCCCTCTACTCAAGGGTGACGCTTGGATTATCTTCGACGACCTAGCAGACAACGAGAAGGATACTCTGGAGAAGCTTGTCGATAATCTCACTAAGAAGTTGACGGTGGCTACGCAGATACAGTGTGGTGAACAGCTCCATCAGCGAGTACTAGACTATGGCAATGAGACCCTTCTGACCTACCAGAATGATATTAGACGCCTGGCACATCGAGCCTATCCAGACATGCAGGAGCAGCAGCTCAAACCGGTGGTTCTCATGGCATTCATTCGTGGTCTTCGTGGACATTCAATCGAACTTGCACGTAAGGTTCGGAATGCCAATCCTCCCACCCTGGAGAAGGCGATGCAGAAGGCGCAATTTATCATGTCGGATCCGTTCATCGATGAATCTGAACGACCAGAGCAAGACGCTATGCAACATGAGCTGACCGCTATTGGTAATATGGAAAGATCGGCA